TTAAGGTACGCTTGAGAAGATCCAATAGGGGCTGACAATTTGTTCTATTTGATGGTGAGGCCAGGTATTTCAGAAAAGAAGAACAGAGAAGGCTCTGACCTAAAAAAGAAAGTCTGAATTTGCCATTTTTGCAGAGCATAGTTCATATAATTCCAGGACTAGATGGGTGGACTTGCTTTTGGATAAGAATGTGTATGAAGAGATAATTGTGGCTGCAGGAATTTTGAATAGCATTTCAATATCGATGTTAAGGAGTGACATTGACCTGTAGTTGTGGGGATCCATAGAATCCTTGCTGGGCTTCCGTAACATTACTATATGTGCTATTAAGGAGGAGGGGTGGAGGCCCATGTGGATACAAAAGTTATAAAAAAGGATGACTAAATGCGGGGTCAGAATACATCTTATAATATTAGGCTGAAAAGCCATCTGGGAAGAGTAACATCCCAAAAGAGTTTGTCCTCCAGGGTCTGTGGGGCAATCAGTATAATCCAGACCATAAATATTAAGATTTTAAACTGTGGCCAGCTAGTGCCAAAAGTTCAGATTGTGATTCCTTATATCCATGGACAAGTAACATTCTGTACAACATTTTGTGTACAGAACTCTCCTAGAAGTGTCATTTCCTTCTCACTTGGTTCCCTGCTAGCTGTTTTTGTCTTGTTACAACAGTAAAAAGAAAATAGTAACACAATGTAAACACAAGGTGAGATTTGTATTGCATTTATATGTTAATAGTGCAGACTATAAATTGACTATAAATTTTCACCTTAAGGGTCCATTCACACTAGTTGCACTGGGACTGTGCTGGCTGTTTCCAGTGCAACCCAAATGTACTGATTATATTATTTCCAAGCAAAAACAATTGCATGTGATCCTTGATCAAACTTTCAAGTATCTTGCCAACTATTGAGGGTAACAATAGGGTCTGTAATTGCTTGGTAAAGACTTTGATCCCTTTTTAAATATAGGCACCACATTGGCTTTGCACCAATCCATCGGTACCAAGCCAGTCGTTAGAGAGTAAGACAACACAATTTGCCTTGTCATGGATGGACACCTTTCACACCACCACATTGTGGTGGGAATGTGGTGATGTGCACTGCAAAAGCATGGCATGTCTTATTTTTTTTAAACACAGCAACCGCAAACAACCGCCTCGCGCCCCAAAGTCTATAATTTATAGACCTCAGATCATTCCCAATTCCTGCACCTATAGACCTCAAATCAGCTCCAATTACTGCACCATCAAAAACGCAGAGGTTTTACATTCATATCAGCTGCAACTGGCAATTCCACTTGGAGGAGAAAGACGGAAAACTGGGCAACTTCTTCAATTAACAATGTAACAACATCTGCAGGCAGACCTATGCTGATAATCTATTGTATGCTAGTGCCAATGGGAAACAGGGCCAATTACAAGGAACTGTATAAAACACGGTTTATGTTTTATCTCAAGCTATCATTAATATAACACTTACTTGGTTGCTCAGCGACATCCAATTTATATTCTTTATGAGTATGTAATCCAATACCAGATCGTATCTGTAAAAGGAATGATAATGCAATGACATCCTTAGGCTTCTCCATCTTGTCTTACAATGGCGGAAAATACAGTCTAACTGGTTTTGTCTTACTGCACTTTACATATTTATACTGCTATCTGTAGATTGATATAGCATTGCAATAGGATCATTTGTGTGACTTATGGCAGAATAATGCCATAAAAACATAGGTTAAGGAGCCCATATTTCAGAACAATAGTCCTGCCAGCCATTGTATACTTGAACAGAAAATGTTTTGACTTAGAGAAGGCACCTTAAAGAGGCTCTGTGTATAGAACATAAAACCTGCTGCAGGTATACAGTGTAGACACCTAGAGCTGCCTGCCCATACCTGCTGTGGCTTCAGATAGAGCCAAACCGCATTCCAACCCTCGGGCCCAGGGGGAGCCAAACCCCATGCCAACCCTCTAGCCCAGGGGAAAACTGTTTAGGTCAACCTGTCTATGAGCGCATTGCTTCTTACTGAGGGGATTACCAATCACAACTGTCTAAGAGGGGATTACCTCTCACTGGGGGGATTACCTCTCACAACTGTCTATGAGCGAATTACCTCACAACTGTCTTAGAGGGGATTACCTCTCACAGGAAGTGCAAAGAAATCTTCCAAAAGGGACAAACAGCAAAACATAATAATAATAACCATAACTTGAAACAAATTTGACCTATGGGTGCAAAAGGATTCATTTCAAATATGTAAAGGTATAGTAAGTTGCTGGACTGTGTGATTGGGAGATGCAATGGGGGTGATTTACTAACCTAAACACACGCACGCACCAGGTGCGTGTGATTTTCACACAGCAAAACGTATTTATCAACCAAAAAGTCTCTAAAAGCATATTTCCACTAATGCCATATATGGAAAAATCATGCACATGATGCATATATAATGCTGCTTCACAGTTTAGACAAAAATGGTTAGCTCATGCATTTACATTCCTGCATTCATCAACGCAAGCAACACAACATAGAGCTAATTTACACAACATCACCTTGTAATTCATGCAGGGCTTTGCACAACACACCTGCTGGGTGTGTACACACTACAAAGGTGTTTAGATTCCACCCATAGATCATGCTGGGAGGGAACACACTAGAGAGGTGTATACATGTTCGTGGTGTGTTTATAAGGTTAGTAAATCAACCCCAATATGTCAGTGTTGAAAGTTCCCTTTTTATGGTCTCAACATGACTTTTCTGAGCTTTTTCTTATCAATATATCAGTAAAGGCCTGTGTTAACAGGTTTGGTTCTCCTCAAGCGGGTTTTGAATTCTCATAGATGTGTATTGCTTGAAGCAGGTCAGAAGGAAATCAACAGCAGGTCAGATGCACCTGTCAATGAATTCTGAATGATCTCAGAAGCATCTTAAACCGATAAACTGATGGCACTGATACAAGTCCAAAGCCTATCGACACAGACACTAAACCTAATCCAATGCAGGAGGCAACAGGATACGGTTTTGCTATTGTTTTACAGCAGCCCTGGAGTGACACTGTATTCAAGGGAGACCAAAAATGAAGTGGTGGAAGTTACGAACGCACTGTCCATTACTAGGAATGAGCTCTAAATTCAGTCTTAACACAGATTGGGATTAAAATGTGCATTGTCAGGAGCCAAACAGTGTATATAACAGCAGTATTTCTACCACTATGATACTATATATGAAAGCTTTCTACTTTTAATGGTTGCTAATTGGCCATCAATGCAGTTGGGTTGGAGGATATGGTTTATTGCAGCTGATGAGGATCACTGAGATCTACATCACTAGATGATGTGATAATGTGAATAGTGGAATATTTGTAGAGTTTTTTTTATTTTTACTGACAGTGTTCCTGTAGTACATTGTATATATTGTATGGATGTGCCAGTTAAGACAGGTTTGGGGACCCCTCAGACAGGTAATTTAAAGGAATTTCACCATTTAAAATTTTCACTTAATGGGTTACTAGATTTCCTGCATTAATACATGTCCCCCAGGCCATTATTAATTATTTTACAGATTAGGCTCCCACTAATTTCAATGGGGCTGGGAATCCACTTATCAAAAGGTTGCTGAACCTGCCCTGAACTGGACCTAGGTATGTTCGGCTCATCCTCAGCCACCACCACAAATAAAATACACACACATGCACACATATACACAGTTATAGATATGGTATTTTTTCTAGTTTATCCCTTTCGCTGCCAGATATGTTTTTTTGCACACTTATTAAATGCATATTTTAGGCCTGAAAATTGAATAACCCCCTCCCCCAAATGATATTTTTTCTGAAAGCAGAAACCTGGAGAGTAAAATGGTAATTGTTGTAAGTTTATGTCACACAATATTATATATATAATTCAGGTTTATCAAACCCAAATTTCCATATAAAAATGCATTCAGTTTAATTTTAGTGCACACAAACAAAATATAATGCCCATTTTTTTTAGGAAAATATAAAAGATGAAGTGTTGTCAAGTATATAAATGTCAAACATGTCAAGCCTCAAAATTGTGTGAGCCCATGAAACAGAGATTGTCATATTGTCCATAGGCAAAGCTTTAAAAACCTTTAAAGATCACCGATTTACAGCTAACAATAAATAATGGCCCGATAATTATTGCTCTTAATTATTGATACTTAAAGAGGAAGAGAGGTCCATTGTGCATGTATGTAGAGGCTTTAAATAATAATAATAATTTTATTTTTTACACTTAACGAACAAGTCCCCCTATGTGATAGCACATTGGAGGTGATAGGTTCTCTTAAAAGAGACATTAGGGGTCATAACAAAGTTAAACTGACTCCTAAATGCAATAGCATCTGGGAGTCAGTTTACGGGGCCCTGCTGCCACGGACGTGTGTAAAATGTGGCGTCTCTAACTGAAATCCCTTTATTTCAAAACTATCTTCAAGAAAAAACTTACAATGTAGAAGAATGAGATGTGGTCTGTTTTAGAATCCAATTGATCTTTATTGATGTGATAATCCACTTTCACCGACAGATCAGAATCACATGGAAGGGTGTCTGTTATAGTTTCCACTTTCAGCAAGCTGTTGCTCTCCGAGTAGTAGGGATGGAGCCACTTCACATGGTCAGAACGCAAAAAGGATTCCATATCCTCATCAGAGTCATCACCAGCTTCTGATTTTAATTGTGCCTGTGGAAGAAAATAAACATTTCAATAACTAAGCCTGCATGGCTAAATGAAACAGTAAAACAATACATCAAAGACTAGAGCGTGGCATTTAGAAAAGATAAGATGGAGGGGACGGCATTGGCATTCCGAAACTACAAGAAATGTAATAAAAGATGTAAACATGAAATTCGAGCAGCTAAAATAGAGTGCGAAAAGCATATCGCCACAGCCAGTAAGAGGAACCCCAAAAATTTCTACCAATATATAAACAGTAAAAAGGTAAGAAAAGAGCAGGTCGGCCCAAAAAAAGATGAGAACGGCAGATTAGTGACAAATGACAGGGAGAGGGCCGAGGTGTTGAATTATTTTTCTCCTCAGTATACACTCGGGAAAAAGATGGGTTTAATGTGGGTAAGAATACAAGTAGCACATTGCATAAAATCTTTCTCAGATCTCCAATCAAAATATCATTTCCTTCCTTCTGAACTTTTTAGATACCTCCAAATCAAACATTTTGTCTCCTCAATCAAGATCTCTCAACTATGACACCATTTGAGAATATTTACCATAAAGACCCCCACACCCCAGGTGTTATCTCACAACTTTATAGCCTCTTGTTCTGTGGGACAGCTCCTCCATGTCACGCGTATGTGGAAAAATGGCAGAAAGATATTGATCATCATTTATGTGATGATGACTGGTCCCAGATATGGATATCCACTAAATAATACTCAATCAATGCACTAGCTCTTGAAACTAATTATAAATTTTTGTTCAGAAGGTATATGGTTCCTAACCATCTGAAAAATATTATCCCAAACTATGGCGGTAAATGCTTTCGTGGATGCACTGAATTGGGTGCCTATATAGCTACATGGTGGAGCTGTCCCATAGTATGTACTTTGGGGCCAAAATTTATAGAATATTGTCAATACTCATGGGCACCCATATTCTCTCTACTCCACAAGTAGCTCTCCTCAATGTCAAACCCCATTTCTTTTCTCTGCCACGTTTCCAACTTATGCTACATGTCCTAACTGCTGCTAAGGACATTATCTCCAAAGCCTGGATGTCTAATTTGTTCTCAGTAAGAGCATTTAAAAGGCATCTTTAGTGGATCTTCATAAATTAAAAACTTACTGCAAAACTGCTAGACAAAATGTCCACATTTGAGAAAATACGGGACCCATGGATAAACCACTTTTTACCTCCACGTTTTGATAAATGCTTAATAACCCTACAAACACCTCTTTACATTACAACACAGGTCCCCTTCAGCAGCACACATCTCTTCCCTCCCTTCCTTTTTCTTCTCCCCTGTTTTTCCCTCCTATTTTTCCATTCTATATATTATTCCCTAACCCTTTTCATTTTCTTTGTTACGCATGTTACCATTCCTATTGCCTTTTGACTTTATCATTCATAACAGTGCTCTCTCACTGATTATTACTTCATTGTTTTAATGCACATCAGTCACCTTATCACCTTAAATTATTATTATTATTATATTGTTAAAATTCTGTTATCACTACAGTTGCTTGAAGTGGACCTTTACACTCAAAAATCTAATTCTACCAATGCTTCCCTCTATCTATGATGATTAATAATAACATAGACATGTCAGGTGTAAAATGCTGTGATTTTGTAATATACTTGCAGAGCATTAACTTCCTGCTTTGAATGGGTAAAATGACTTCACTTTGCCAAAGCAATGCACACTGGAATTGCCTTGTCATCAGCAGAGCATTGATGGGAAATCTCATCTGTAATCTCACAAGATCTCAGGGAAAGGCATTTTCCTCCCCTGAGATGATGTGCATGGTTACATGCCCCAGTCACATGTCTAGACACATGTGCCAGAAATTCAGGAAGTGAAAGGAGAGCTAGTAATCTGCCCTTAGTAAACCTGGCCACTGTCAGAAGACTTTGGAAGAAAAGAGAAATAAGGTATGTAAAGAATACAAAGCCGGCAATTATCTAGAAAAATGTGTTTGTAGATTGTCATAACTAAACATTTCAGAAGGTGTGTTTGTTGTTATTTTAAAGATATGGGTAAAGGTCTGCTTTAACTCTTGAGATAAATTCCCACTGTTTGCATTTTGTACCTGCATTCGGTTTCACTAAAATTCAAATTTTGAATACTAAAAGAAGAAAATAAGGTCATTAGTTTGAATCCAAAGTAAGTTGAATTGTGGATATAATATATGAACTGTGGAAATGCATTTCTATGGTAGTAACTTACCTTTATTGCTAAAATACCTTTCCAAGAATCAGTATTGAGTCTAAAATCAGCCAATCCGTCCCTGTTGGTCTCTACTGTCTTCACAGTTTGAATTTCATCATCATGATCAAGTAAGGATATCACAACAGCCACATTGGCCATGGGCTTTTTACTATCACCCTCCACAATCTGAGGACAAGAAAAGGGTCAAATATATCAGAATGTTATTATACCTCTCTGAACATACTCATACAATATATTTCTTACACACAGGCCTTATTATTAGTGCTTCGCCTTTCAGCAAACCATGCACACCTATCTGATTAATGCTCGCAATAAATTGTAGAAAACAATTCAAATTCTTTTTAATGTGTCAATGTGCACTGAGGGGCCCATAGAAATCATGTTACATGCGTTGATAGCACACCTTATAAATAAGGATATAAATAGGAGAAGCCATAACAAAAAAGAAGAACAACAAGAAATCCCTTTAACTCTTTCACTGCCAAGGACTTTTTTTTTTCCACAGTTATAATCCACATTTTAGGTCTGAAAATTACTTAAAACCCCCAAAGCATATTGTAAGCTCTCACGAGCAGGGCTCTACTACCTCCTGTACAGAAATTGTATTGCTCATTGTATTGTCTCCCTAAGTTTTGTAAAGTGCTGCATAATAATAATCAGGGCTCGAAAAATGCACTCGTCCACTCGTCTGTGACGAGTGGACGCCAGTGCTAGACGAGTAGCTTCCCGGCCGGCTGTTGTAATTAAACGGCCGGCCGGGAGCTTTACATTCATTCTAACTCTCTCAAGCCGCCCGCGGCGAACTGATTGGCTATAGTCCGGTCATGCTGACTGGTGAAATTTTTGACTGACTGGTGAGACACCGTAAAATTTTTCAAGCCCTGATAATAATATTTTCCGAAAGCATAGATCCTGCAGAATAAAATGGTGGCAGTTGCAAATTTCTATGTACAATAGTAGCGCAACTCTTTATTAAACCCAAAAGTTTAGTAAAAAAGTAACTTAAGTCAATTTTAGTGCCAAAACACACAATATAATGCCCATTTTTTGTGTCAGATATAACAGATGAGGTTAGGATGAGTAAATAGATACCCCACATGCCCAGGTAAAAAAATTGTGTGCTTACCTGAAACGGTGACAAAATACAGTACCCCAAATTGTCCAAAGGTGAAATTTTAAAAGACCGTACAGGTCATCAGAGCTATGCGTGATTATTGGCCCTATAATTATTGCTCTCTTTCTAGTGTGCGCAGCAATACTCAACACGTGTAGTGTAGCACAATTGTAATTTTCGGGTGTAGGCGGACCAGCCGCTTGTTTGCATTATTGCGTTCGTGCATGCATGCTCGCGGGGGCGGGTGACTTTAAACAAAAATATTATTTTTACATTTATTTTATTTAATAATATACATATATTTTTTTTAACTCAATTGTTATCACATAGAGGGCTTACAAGCCCCCAATGTGATAGCATATTGGCAGTGACAGGTACTCTTTAAGGTGACACTAGAGGTGCAAAATACCCCTAATATCACCTTTCCACTCTAAATAAGCTATTGAAGCGCAGATAGCTTATTTAAAATAGCTTATTGCTCGCTTCTGCAGCCGAGCAATGACAGCTGAGGAACCGAAAAAGAGATGCAATCAGCGTCGCTCCCGGCTTTACATATCTAAACAGTCTGTTTAAAGGTGCCCCGCTGCCACCGACACGATACATACGCCAGTGGCAGCAAATGGGTTAAATGCAAGCTCAGTATACAAAAGTGTGTAATATAAACATCCTATTGAAAAAAGCTCCCATAGTGAAAAATACTAAAAACAATGGCAACGTTGTCATAACACCACAATCACTCCTATACATGCTTCAATCACCTACACACACCAGTTCCAATTCATATAGCGCTGTTGTTACATAATAACAGTATGTCATAATCTTGTAAACCAGCTGGGATATCAGTTACATAGTTACATAGTTACATAGTATTTGAGGTTGAATAAAGACATTAGTCCATCAAGTCCAACCTATTAGGATCTCATTCTAGGAGTACCCGTACCCCTGTATATTACGGTCCCTTAAGAAATCGTCCAAAAGTTTCTTGAACAATTCCACATTATTTGCTGAAATCACCGCCTGTGGCAGTGAGTTCCAGACCCTAACTGATCTTACTGTGAAGAACCCCCTTCGCACCTTGTGCTGGAATTTTTTTTCCACCAATTTTAGGTTATGGCCTCTAGTTTTTGTAACGGAGTTAATTTTAAACAGTTTATCGCTAATGTTGCTACCACCATTAAACATTTTGTACATGGAAATCATATCCCCCCTTAATCTCCTCACCTCTAATGTGAACATGTTTAAATTTAGTAGCCTCGTCTCGTAGCTCTGGTCCTCCATACCCCTAATTAGTTTGGTTGCCCTTCGCTGGACTTTTTCCAACTCAAGGACATCTTTTCTTAGTACTGGTGACCAGAACTGGACCGCGTACTCCAGATGAGGTCTTGTTACTTTGTAAAACAGATCTGTGTCAATCCTTCAGTTTCTAAACACTCAGCCAGAAATTGTTCCTGCAAGCTTAAAAATCAACTGCTGCATCCAAGTAGCTGAAACAACATTTCTTTGTAATGGAGTATAAGGATGAGAGCATGACACAAGTGAGAGCTTGTGAAGGACTCCAATCCGTATTATATAGAGCAGGCTCAAACACAGATACAAAGTGGCAACATGGCAGGCTTGGTGAGACACACTGAAGGACAATGTTCATCAATGTGCAGTGTTTATGTAGTTTCTGGTTTACACAATGTAACTAACCATCGTAATGTTTAATGGACATGTAAGTTTTGTTCTGAATTGAAATGTGGACTAATTTCTTCAAATTTTGACATTTGTGATGTCACCCAAATACCAGACGCATGTGACAGCTCTGCTCCAGGATGTAAACAAAGGGACGTAGGAAGTCTAGTGATGTCGCGACTGGCTCTGCCCCTTTCATTACATTCTGGAGCAAAGCTGTAATTTGGCATCCTGCATTTGTCGGGTGTGGACGTGGCAGTGACATGTTTTTTCTTTAGTTGAGTCGGCGAGCAACGGGCATGATTGATGGGAAATTATATTGCTGGATGATGTGAATGATGGATTTACAGCGTTTTAAAAATAAATAAATAAAGGACTTGTCAAAAACTGTCTGGTGTGTTCATTTATTAATAAAGGACTTTCAAACTGATGTGGTGTGTTTATTTACTTTCTTTCTGTTTATTTGGTAAAGGGTAACAACCACCCCTTACTTATTAACAAGGGGGGAGCGGGCACCAGTGGGGAAGCTAGACTTTTTGTCACCCAGGGAAAGGTTCAGAGTTGCCCCCCTCGAGGGAGATGATCTCCATCCACAAACCCAGTGGTGCCCCTTCTAAAGCAGTACTGAATTCAGATCAGACCCCCACAACTCTGGCCCAATCCTCATAAATATCAACCTAAAGGGTCTGGTAGGAATTTAGGGGGACCCCACTTATTTCAATTTAACAACATAATTAACTCCATCCAAACAGATTAGAATTGATCGAAAATGAAAGCAAAACATTTGGACCGAACCAAATAACAAACCTAATCAAATATGATTACAAAAAAGAAAAAGAATCAGTCTGAAACTAAACAAATTGTTTGAATATTTACATGTCTACTACTCAAGCGGATTCATCCGCTGCATGGACTGAAGTGGGCACTTTTCAATCATGCTGCCTCAATTTCTGCAGAATAACACATGATTTGGGCTGCACTCCCACACTAAACCGCATGTTCAGTCCAGCAAACGGTTTCATGGCACACGAGTCCCGGCAGGTACCAGACTTCAAGATTCAAGCTGCCTCACTGAAGATGGATTCACACCTCTTTATGCAGTTTTCCTTTGTTTTTAAATGTGCTGTGAACAATCAAGCATTTTCATGAACTGACAACTTCGATATAATACTCTTATTAAAGATTCTTCTTTTGGGGTAAAACTTTAGTGGATGCTGTAAGTAGATTAGAACTGTATTTGTATGTCTTGTACCAAAGAAAGCAATTGGTTGGACAATTCTGCATATATCTTGGTGCTAAATAAAAGGAAAAGTTAAATACTATAATATTCCAGTGTATTACTTTAAAACTGTATTCTTTTTTCACAAATTCTCCATACCTTGCCAGTGAAGGGATGTCCACTGTGGTATACAGAGTCAGTATCCACAAATTTAATGTGCTGGCTTTTGAGGAGATTGAGAGTAGCTTTACTTTTCTCTGTGTGACCTGGAAGACAGAAATTTGCTGTCATGTTTTCTTCCTGTATATAACCAATACTCCCTGAAATAAGATTGGTAAAACCCCCTGCCTTATTTCAAATTCAGGTAGGAACTGTATAAGACCCCATTCACACTGAGCGACATGGAAATCGCGCGACATTGAGCGACGAGCGACATTGAGCGACGTTGAGCGACGTGTCGCGCGACATCGCGCGACTTCTTCCTATTGGGCTGTATGCAATCAGGAGCAATATCGCTCAAAATCGCTCTAAAAAAGGGTCATGTAGGAGCGACAAGCTACCAGCGACGAGCTACAAGCGATATTGAGCGATATTGAGCGACGAGATGTGAACAGCTACATTGAAATGTATTGGTGAAGCTACATAGAGCGATGTAGCGCGGAAATATGAGCGATATCGCTGCAAAAATCGCTCCATAAATCGCTCAGTGTGAATGGGGCCTAAAGAACATCTGTCATCTTTGAGGCCCCGTTCACATATAGCGACATACCTTTTGCAGCGGATCCGCACGGCCGGGATAGCGCGACTTTCGGGGCGACGTTCCAGCGACGATCCAGCGACGGTAGCGCGACCTTCCCCGTCGGGCTCCATAGAAAAAAAGTAAAATCGCGCAAAATCCGCCGAAAAAAGGGTCCGGTAGAAGCGACTTGCGACCGCGACGAGCGACGGGCAACATGGAGTTAAGACAGCTCCATTGAATAACATTGGCCGGCGACTTCTCGCGATATCGCGCGGCAAAAATGCGCGATATCGCGGCGGAAATCGCGCGACAATTCGCTATATGTGAACGGGGCCTAACTCTGCTGCTTACATAGCCATTACTGCAGAACGATATATTTTGTGAAAAGCATAGACCCTGCAGAATAAATTATGGCAGCACTTTAGTAGGCAGCCCCCGTGTTGAAATACAAAAGTTTCATAAATTGCCAGATCCATGGTTGGAAACCCATGGATTGGCACCCTTGAATCTGGTGAGCCAATATTTATGTAGCTAGATATAATATTGTTTTGCATTTAAAATAATAGTGGAGTCTATTTTTTTACCTAGGTATGGGTAAGAGAGAGCTATTGATATATCTGTGTATCTAGTAGTTTATAGATATATTGGGTGGCATTTGATTATATATGATTATGGTAGTGGAATAGTTTCCCTCTTTTTTGTTGTTGTTTTAGAATAATAATACATTTCAGGTATGAGGATACAAGTGACCTGCTCCTCTGTGCCAGAGCCCAGGCCTGATTTCAGTGCTGGCTGTGAAGGAGCAGGGAGCAATGAGGGAGAACAGGAAAAGTGACTATAAGGGCATTGGGGGACACCTTTTGCAGAAACACTATCACTTTCTCTACACTATCACGCAGCTCATTAAGGATGCACTTTTGATTTACACATAAAGCACTACTTAAAATATAATATAACAATATTGTTATAATGTAATTTTAATGAAACCTGCAAAAAGTGTTTTCAAGGTAGCTTCTTATAGCAGACACTTCTAAGATAGATGGGAACCCAGCTAATAAATTAACAGTTGATCCTGCAGAGTGAAATGCTAGAAAAGGTGCAGGGAAGAGGAGGGTATGTAACCACATAACACCTTCCTCTTACCAATCTCTACATCTATATCTTCTAATTTTCATCTGCCCTTCTTACTTCCCTCCCCACCTCAGTGCCAGTTAGTAAAAAAAGGAAATGTGATATAGGTGGGGCCATCAGATGCTCCCTATAAACACATGTCCCGTCAGCAACTGTTATTTGTCACTGCGGAAAGACCTTTTTTTTTCTAAGTAGGGGACCAGTGCGTGGAGGCATGTGCTCCTTGGAGTCCTTGAGCCCCTGGCAGAAGCCTGCTCTTACCAAATGTAAACCTGCCACTAAGGCTGTTATTAGGGATGGAACTAGGAGACTACAGATCTTACACACGCTAATAGATGCCTTGTAAACTCTTACCTGTACCATCTTCAGTCAGTGAAGCTGAAATCTGTAGCTCTGTCATATCCCGTGTGATATTGAAATATTGAAGGTTGATCTCTTTGGATAGGCACCCTTTACTGTCAGTCTACAGGGAACGAGACACCAAAGTGTCAGTATTGTATAAAAGGTGTAGACTTGAGAAAAGAGTTGGGAAAGTATTTTGAATAACATACTGCAAAATTAGAGAAGATTAAAGCAAATTACTCCCATAGACATAATCACAATTATATAAATTATATTTATGTACAGTACATCTCTATAGCTTAGTTGTGGTATGGATTGTCTTACTATCACAGATAAAATACTGTATATGCTGCTAAATTACTTTAATTATCATTGTCCAAGCATGTCAGCAAAACTACTAGTCTTGCCAATGTAAGTAAAATCCTCATGTATGCCTATGATGCTTCTACCAGAGTATCCAGTATGTTTGTTTACACTCTTAGTAAGTGGTAGTCACGCAAAAGAAAAAGCAAAGCATGGAGTGTAAAATCCATGCCAAAGGTGGAGGGAGAGATCTCAGCTGAGGTCACAGAATAAGCTAAAGGGCCAGAGAGAGAATCCCACCCTGCTTCATTTCACCCAAAACACATATCAATTGTTGGTATGGTGGCCCTCTCTGCTATGTCGATATTAAATTTAGTGTTTGGTTCTAGACTGTAGTTAGTCTGGAGGTTGATTATTCTGAGATCTGAAGGTTTTCCTAAGTCTGGTGGACTATTGCTGAGTTGGGCCTCCAGCATACAGTGTGGGAGGGTCAATCCTTATGTTATGAATATGCATCTGACTCTGACCAATCCCTGAGCAGGCTCACTCAGGGGTATGGCTGGAGGAAGGTGATAAATGTTTGGGGAACACCTTCCAGAACTCTCTGTCTCTACCCTGGGGATTCTCCTTGGGAGGAAGTCTGTGTGCTGCAAGAAGCCTGGCCTAGGCCCCAGCATGTGGCAGGTAGTGGGAGCCCAGAGGCCTTGGTTGGTGCACTGTAAGTCCTGTGACTCTTCCACCTCAGAGTTGTGAACTGTTCCTGGCTGTCCTCTGGTGCTACTTATTCATGGTCGTTCTTATAGGACCAGTTACTACGGAACTACCGTTACTACTACTGATAGTGAAGACACTGCCCTCCATTTTTTCATCTCGGGTGTCCTACAACCCTAACGCTCTCTCCTAATTATTACCTTGCAATGAATACTAAAAAGACCCTACGACTTGAGCCTCTTCTATCCTAGAAGTGTCGCTATTGCTGGTGCTATTAAAAAAGGGCTGGTGGCTACTGAACTAGAAGGAGAAGACCCATCTATTCTCTGCGGCTCTTTAGGGGGCGCGCTACAGTATTATTTTCTTTTTTTTCTAAAATTGAGAAAAGCCATTTGAAGAAAAGTTATTTACCTTTGTGTCTCTTGTTTTAATGCATGTTATAGAGTTATCTTCTTTGTATTCACTTTCTTCAGTGCCATAAGAATATGCATAATAATCGAACGCAATTGAATTATAGCAGACTTCAACATATAGGGTGCCTTGTACGGGCTTTCCATAGGTATAACTACAAAACAACAGGTGAAGAAAAGGCTGCATTTATGTAATTTGTTGTAAAATACAAGCTGAGCTGCCTTTATCTCTGCTATTTTATAAAACAGAAAGAGCACCTTTAAAGAAACTTTGCGTAGCATGAATGCACAAGGACATGTGTTTGTGTGATTTGAATGGATGTCACACCTGTGGCAAATGCGGGAAAGTAACTCATGCAGAATTTTCAGCTGGGAGCATCCCGAGTTTTTTTCCCTGCACATTTGACAAACGTCGACGCATAGGAAAAACAGAAAGAGTGCCAATGCGTGCTCCAAGGAACGGCGACTAAATATGTTACTGAAATCTCATGAAAAGAATCTCTTTGTATCACATTGCTTCACATGTGAGCTGTTATGTAGATTTTTAATAGCAAAACTGAGCCTTCTGCAATCACGCAAGGCTGCAATTTAAACGAGTAGTGTAAGCTATTAACTATTAAAGGAGTACTATGGGGTAAGTGTTTTTCCCCATAGTTCTCTTTAGGGTCAGGAGAGGACATATACTAGCGTCCTCCCATGACCAAAAGCTCAGTATACCACGAGCTACAGCTCGTGGTATTCTAAGACTGCCGCAGCCGGGGCGGATCCCAACATTACTGTCGAGATCCACCCAGCTGCGTCAGTGACAGCTGGCTCTGCCTATCTAGAGGCAGAGCCAGCGGTACCCGCCTCCTCCCGTCCTTTCCGCCAGTCAGGGGATCGGAGGGGGATCCCTGCAGGGAGCTGTGAGTGACAGTCACGGCTCTCTTCAGGGACATGATCGAGGAGTGAGCGAGCAATGGAATGTGTTCGCTCACTTCCCGGTCTATTGAGCGGACCTGTGACAGTTTCATTGTCACAGGTCGGCTCAGATTATGAGGCTGAGTGAAAATCACTCACCTCATAGTTCTCCTTTAATCTCATCTCTTCTCCCACAGAGACTTAAATTCTATCCAGAGATTAATCTCTTTCTATTGAAGGGGCATGATGCTGTTTTGAAGTTTTCACGTATACGGTATTGGAAATGTATTCCCAACCAAGTTGGCTACATCCAGGGGTTAACGACTTAGGCATCACCTGTGAGATGGGCAGTACTCAGCAGGTATAAGCACTTGGAAGAATAAGAAACGTCATCTCTATGATTAAGCCCATGTGGGGAAATGCGTGAGAGGCGTTGGAGAGGGAGAGATACTGTGGTTGTGTATTTCTTGTATTTTGAACTTTGCATGGAAATTATAACAATAAAATTGGATTTTTATGGGCCTCGGTTTCGTGTGGCTGACTGGAGAGACATTAACGGACATCCCATGTCTATGGTGAGCTGCAGGAGACAAAAGATTGCTTTCATTAATCTCACCTGCCACAAACCTCCAGGTTAAAGGATTTTTCTGTAAAAACCACATTGGAGGGCAAGTTCATGAGAAGTTCAAACCTCTTTAGATCTGAATGGAATGAAAACAGCAATGAAAAGACACGCAATAAAATAATTTTTTTTAACAACTTTGCCTTTATCCGTACTTGTACACAGTGTATCTGTTTTTACATTTTGTCTATCAGTAACTGTTAAATATCATGTTTTAATTTGGCTGTATAATATAACTATAGGCTCAAAGGATTATTAGGATTTATGTGTGGATAGTAAGGAGATTTGGGTGTAAATTAGCTATTTTATTTTTGCTGGAGTTTGGGAACAGCTGGGTCTTAAAGTGAAAACATAACTCAAACAGATCTGTTTCAAAGAGAAAGATTCATTGAGTCTGCCTATGTGTTGTATGTGTGACAAATATGTAAAATCGAATAAACAGAATTCTCAAAAAAACAAAAAAAAAGAGAAGGATTCATTGAGACGTTCACCTAGTGAAGCGATCCAACTGCTTTTGCCTGGCATTCTACAGGCATGTACAATAGAACAAAATGTAATATAGTGCATCTTACCAGTCCTTAGATTTGGTAACTAGATCAGTTTTCTTTCTTCAGGCTCCGTTCCCTTAATTTTGATCTTGCCAGTAACACACTTCCTGTCCTAGGCTCTCATCGCTCAGACACTGTACATTATCTATGAAGAAGCAGAGTTGTTTCCCTAGGAGCAGTAGCATGTTACTGTCCTAGGGTGACAACACTCACAACACTCACTTGCACTGTGTCTATGGAAGAGCAGTATTGCACCATAGACAGAAAGTGTGTTAAGACTTAAGACAGAGCCCCCCCCCCCGCCCCCCACTCCTCATCTCTGTTACACAACTGTTCTGTAGTCCACATAAGGAAACTAGGAATGCTAATAACGTTCTTAATATTCAGTTCAGTTTACCTCTGTGAACCAGGAGGCCAACATGCAGCAAAATCCATCTCCACCATCAGGAGCTCAGGTGAACACTGGCTGGCCCTTAGACTCTGCACCCTGGGGATCCCACACCACCTGCTTAGGACCACAACACTTAGCTTTGGCCTTGGACTGTAAGCTGTCTCTTATGCTGTTGGCTCCAGCTTCCAGGTGCCCCTTGCTGTTCCAGCCAGGGTCGGATTCGCCACAAGGCCACCTAGGCCTGGCCTCGGGGCAGCAGGGAGCAGAGGGGCGGCAGCAGTGCGGAATCTCCCGACGCCCGGGACATGCAGTTCCCAGACATAGACATCCTAACCTGCAAAACCTTATTTCAGGGAGGTTCCCGTCTCATTTCAGGGAGGTGCCCTTTCTTTTTTTTTTTTTTACAGTGTGCAATGATACCTTTCTTATTGGACTAACAAAATATATAAAAGACAAGCTTTCAAGAGTGAACCTCTCTTCTTCAGGTCAGAAGCAATACTGATCAACATGACAGTTTGTCATCAACATCATGTTGATCAGTATTGCTTTTAAGGTTTACTCAGAGTAAACCTTTCAGGGAGAAAATGCCTCTCTCGCGGATGTCAGGGAGCCGCTATCTAATAGCGGGAGACTCGCTGAACATCAGGGAGACTTGAGATCCCTGAGTTCCGGACACCGGGCGGTAAATTTTTTAAGTCTAACTCCAGCCAATTTTTGTTTGTTTGTTTTGGATAGCATGGGGAAGGGTTTTACCCCCTGTAAAGTTTGTTTTGCTATGTGTGCCCTTGTTCAAAAGATTTCACCTCACTTTCTGTCTCTGTGACAATTGGATTTTGAACATTTTGGGTTGTCGTGGAAACAAGGATTGGTGATAAAGCTACAGGGGGACACCTTTTTCACATGATCACTCTTACAGGAGTAAATTTCCCTTCCTAGCGGTAGATTTACTTTCACTTCCAGCGGTTGCAGCTGTGACAGGGCACTGGCACTCCACCACTGTCCTAAGTAAATGGCCTGGTAATGAAGAATACAAGCAAAATATTCAAAAATATTCTATTCTGATAATTGAGTAGGTAATACACATAATGATAACAGTCAATATATTACTTTGTTTTAGTTGACATGAGTGATTTTTTTTTATAGTTCTCCAAATTTAATGCAGACAAAGCTGTTTTTTAATTTTTTAAGTCTAACTCCAGCCAATTTTTTTTGTTTGTTTTGGATAGCATAGGGAAGGGTTTTACCCCCTGTAAAGTTTGTTTTGCTATGTGTGCCCTTGTTCAGAAGATTTCACCTCACTTTCTGTCTCTGTGACAATTGGATTTTGAACATTTTGGGTTGTCGTGGAAACAAGGATTGGTGATAAAGCTACAGGGCGACACCTTCACATGATCACTCTTACAGGAGTAAATTTCCCTTCCTAGCGGTAGATTGACTTTCACTTCCTGTTGTCTCAAGGACAGGAAGTGAGATTAAATCTTTCTAAAGGTCCCCACACACCTTACGATAATCGTACGATAATCGCGGGAAATCCCGATTTTAAGATGTTCTCCTTGTACAGAGACATGGAACAGCCAATCTGCTTGACTCTTTTCCACTGCGGGAACCTATTTCAAAATGTGAAACAATATTTGTTGTTACTTGATGCCGAATCTAAGTCTGATGCTAATACATTGCTTTTTACCAAAGTGTGTTAATATATTCTTAACTGTACTCACACCCTATAGCTCATTCTATTGGCCTGTCATGCTGCCATCCTCAGTTCCAGCTTGTTGTGTTGACACAAAGTAGTTGTATTAAAACCTTTTGCTGAAAATCGTCACCAGAAAAAAAGGTGAGGGATAATCTTATAATGGGGATATCTCCTCCTGCTACAACTAAACGTGGGGTTTCCCTCATTATTTAGAGCTTTTCAGTCATCCTGGGCAGAAAGTATCACCTTTTAATGCAAGATAATACCTTCTAAGAAGTGTGCCGTAATCTTATAAACTATTTTGTATTTTCCTTGTAATTTTTTTTAAATATGTGTAAAAAAACAAAAGTGCAATTTTATCAATTAATATGTTTTTTTGTACCATTTTGTCTCCTCCTTAAATCCTTAAACAATAATTAGTCATGTGAAAAAGAAAGTACACCCTCTTTGAATGTCACAGTCTGCGACCGGGGCACACTGTCACGGTCTGCGACCGGGGCACACAAAATGACAAGAAGTAGCGTGCAAAAAATGGTGTCTCGGGTGAAAACACAGGAAGTAGGTGTCTGTGCGTTAACAGGGACGCACAAGAGGCACAGGTTCTAAGAAGGGCCAGGTGTTCGACAGAGCCTCTAATGGTGAGGATGATTGGCTGCTGGACACCTTCCAGGTTGCGGCCCTCTAGCATGCCCACACAGACATAAAGGTAAGCCCTCGTTCACACCTGAACGTTTTGTAGTGCGTTCTACGCTCGACAAACGCTCTACAAAATGCTCAAAAATATAAATCCCATTGTATTCAATGGTCTCGTTCCCACCTTGGCGTATTTCCGCCCGTCCCTAACGCGCTACAAAACGGCCCACGCCTGAAAAGGTACATGTACTACTTTGGGCCGTTTTGTTGCGCGTTTCCATTGGGATACAGCCAAGTAGCCTTCGGAAACGTGCCATGGTCGCGTGACTTTTTTACCGCGAATCGCGGTAAAAAAAACACGCGACAGACGCGCATATGCAATACGCCTAGGTGTGAACGAGACCTTAGTTGCAGCACCGAGGTGCTGGATGCATCAGCAGACAGGGTTGAAGCATATACACAGCCACACAAGTAGACACAGGTGCCAGGACTCACTTGAAGAAGCTGATGATCAATCCAATGCAGGACGTACAGGATCTCGCTGTGAGGAAGAGGGAATCCAGACTCACAGGAAACAAGGTAGGTGGTGGGCAACCGCAAGGATTACAGAGGCAAGAGATAAACAGGAAGTCCGACTGGGTGTAAAGACACGTTGCTCGAACAGCACAGAACAAGTGAGCTGGACTTTTAATGGAGAGGTTCAGAGTGGATTGGCAGGAAGCCAAGCAGCTCAGGCAGGAGGTAAAAACCAGCGCTGGATCATCACACAGGGAAGTGTGACATTGAATTATATGATTTTAAGTATTAGGACATAATATAAATCATTTGGTCCATAGCGGGTATTACAGTTAGGTAAATACAACCTCAGATGAACAACTTGTGACATATTACACCATGTCATTATTTATTTTACAAACATAAAGCCAAAATGGAGAAGCCATGTGTGAAAAACTAAGCACAACTTATGATTCAATAGCTTGTAAAACACATTTAACAGCAATAACTTGTAGAACTAATTTTCTGTATGATTTTATCAGTCTCTCACATCATTGTGGAGGAATTTTAGCCTATTCTTCTTTACAATATTGCTTCAGTTCATTGGGGTCTGTGGGCATTTTTTTAATACACAGCTCTCTTAAGGTTCCACCAGAGCATTTCAATGGAGTTGAGGTCTGGACTTTGACTGGGCCATTGCAACACCTTAATTATTTTCTTTTTCAGCCATTCTGATGTAGATTTGCCACTGTGTTTGGGATTATTGTCCTGTTGCATGGCCTAATTTTGGCCACGATTCAGCTGATGGCCTCACATTTGGTTCTAGAATACTTAAAATAAACTTAGAGTTTATTGTGGACTCAGTGACTGCAAGATGCCCAGGTCCTGTGGCTGCAAAACAAGCCCCAATCGTCACTCCTCCATCACTGTGCTTGGCAGTTGATATGAGGTGTTTATGCTGATATTCTGTGTTTGTTTTTTGCCAAAGGTGGTGTTGTGCATTATGACCAAACATCTCCACTTTGGTCTCGTCTTTCCAAAACACATTGCTCCAAAAGTTTTGTGGTTTTGTTCAGATGCAACTTTGCAAACCTAAGCTGTGCTGTCATGTTTTTTTTAGAGAGCAGAGTCTTTCTCCTGGTAACCCTTCAAAACAAACCGTACTTGTTCACTCTTTTTCTAATTGTACTGTCATGAACTGTAGCATTGAACATGCTAACTGAGGCCTGTAGAGTCTGAAATGTAAATCTTGTTTTTTTTTGCAATTTTTTTCAGCAATGTGCGGTGAGACCGTGGGGTGAATTCACCGAGAAGGCTCCTGGGAAGATTGGCAACTGTTTGTAATATTTTCTACTTGTGAATAATCTTCCTCACTGTAGAATGATGGACTTTATATTGTTTGTAAATGGCCTTATAACTCTTCCCAGATTGATGGTCAGCAACAATTGCTTCTCTAAGATCATTGCTGATGTCTTGCCTCCTTGGCATTGTGTTAACCCACACCTGAATGCTCCAGACCAGCAAACTGTTAAAACTTCAGCTTTTATTGAAGTGGTCACACTTGCTGATGATCAATGAATCAAGGGCATGTGATTAGCAGCACCTGGCTGCTACTTATCGTCTTAATTACTATGAAAGCAGTAAGGGTGTACTTAGTTTTTCATTCATAACTTCTCCAGTGTGGCTTTATGTTTGTAAAATAAATAATAATGACACGGTGTAATATGTCATGGTTTGATGTTCATCTGAGGCTGTATTTACCTACTTTTAAGACCTGCTAAAGGACCAGATTTTTTTAAATGTCCCGATACTTTAAAATGGAGATTTCAAAGACGGTTACTTTCTTTTTCACATGACTGTATATTAAAGTTGAACTCCAGCTATAAAGATTTATATATTCTTACATTGGTCTAGCTTGGTACAATATAAGTATACATAAGTGATCACTGGCAGGGCCCCAAGGATCTTGTAGCCTCAGCTACTACTACTACTTCAAGGCATTCTCTGATTTGATGAAGCGCAGTGATGTCATAGCAACGCCCCTTGTCCAATCAGAAAATGCCTAATATTCAGTTATAAGAATGCTAGGCATTCTCTGTAAGGCCGCTGTGCCGAGCAAGCAAGCAACCTGAAATTTTACTTGTGTTTGTCAACTTCAGTCAGCCAATCATAGGACCAGGAATGTACATTTCGGGGGGCATTCTGTATACGAACTGTGTACACAGCACCTCCAGGTCACCATATTGCATTGAGTATTTTTACAGCTTTAAAAAATTACAGCAGATGCAGTTTTAAATGGAAAGGTAATGTTTTTAACAACATTAAATTACAAATGGATTGTGTAATAATTATAATTTATTTTTTACAAATTATTTTTCATTTGTATTTTATTTTAAATTGGAGTTTTTCCCAAAGTAATACAGCTGTAGTTTAAACTGATGTTTATAAGTAACATGTCTACTCACCTGTATAGGGTAACAGTGGAAAAAGTCATGACTGGTTATATCTTGCTCAGCAATAACTTGAACTTGATCATCTTTCTGCAGTTCTAGTTTTAAGTGAACTTCCCCCTCCAGATCTTGGAAGACAACACAGGCTTTCTCCTGAAATCCCTGTGTTATTTCAGCAGGGACTGTGATCACATAGTGGCTGTAAGGATACAAGAAGATTAATAGCATTAACTGGTCAGTCTAGTCTCAGATTCTCCAACAGTGAACTCTACCCCCGATGATTCCTAATGTGGTTTAACCTACAAGTATCTACCAAAAAAATGTAAATACTTTAGTTGACTTCAAAGGTGACCCTTGATGTCTCCTTAAAGAGTACCTGTCACCAGGTAATAAAGTTACAATAAAGTTAAGTAAAAAAAACAGTTGAAACTTTATTTTAAGTCCCTCTGTCCCTTTGTACATACACATTTTAACGCAAACACACGTTGGGTGCTCCTTTGTACAAAAACAACAAATGCATCACACATGTTAGGTATCACCGCACATGCCAGAGTGAAAGCAACAAATCTAGGGCCATTATTCATGGGTAACTCTAAACTGATGACCTGTAAAATCTTTTAAAGTGTTGCCTATAGAGAATTTTGGGTATCATTGTATTTCACCATTTCACAGGTGCACACAGTATTGAAGCTTGACATGTTTGGTATCTATTTACTTGGTGTGACCTCATCTTTTACATTTAAAAAAAATTGGTAATATGTTATGTGCACTAAAATTAACTTGAGCGCATTTAGTGTGGGTCTGGTAAACAATTGGAGTAATAGCATGCAAAAAAAAAATTGCATCCATTTTATTCTACAGGGTCTCTGCTTTCAGAATATACATAATTTGGGGGTTGGGTGGTTAAGTAATCTTTAGTCCTAAAATGTACATTTTAACATGTGTGCAAAAACAGCCCTGACGGCAAAAGGGAAAAAATAATTTAACTGGGCAGATGCAAGTCACTGTGGCCATTCCCATTTACAGTCCTATGCACAAACATGGTAGAGGGAGATAAGAGTGCTAAGGATACAAATAAAAAATACATGTATTTGAAAACTGTATTTACAGAACATGGAGTTAATTTGACTGGAGGTTGTGATGTGTTTTTTTAGGGTGCGAGTCCAGTTAGTTTAGGTCTTGTAGCAAGACTTAGATATTAAAAGCCTAAATATACCCTTCGGGACCACGTTTCACATTACACCTGTATTCAGCGTGTAACATTCTACATGGCCACATCACAAATGTATTGTAATTAATGACCCCGTAAGTTCCTAGCTGATAACAGGCCTGCCAACCTACATTCTGTGTATTTCTATTAGCTGCCAAATACCATGGCCAATAGTTTTTGGTGGTGATTTGAATATAACCTGAGCTAGCAGGCGGTAACCCGGAGGTGGCTGCTTTATTGAAATGTTTCCTTAGCCTATATTGTTCTTTGTTTAATGAGAAACTAAATTTTTTGAAGGGCCTTTCATATTTTTACTTGCTTGCTGTTCCATTAAATTTCTATTAAATGCCTGCAAAAAAACTTCTGAGATAAGCTCAGTTAGCTTATCTAAGCGAACTTTATAGCGAACTTTGAGTATAGAAATGTGCTATTCCATTGTAATTAGCAAGTATGACTGCAAATATTAGTAATTATACGGTATGTTTTATCCCCTGTGTGATAGCAATAAAGTTAAGTGAAAAAAAATAGTTAAAAAATAATTAAAAAAGTAAAAAATAATAACTAATTAAAAATGTAACTAAATAAAAAAAAAACAAAAAAGGGGATAAATTAAAAATAATTTGATGCCCCCATCATCTGCATGCGAATAAACGTGCAGTGTTTTCAACCGTGACTGTGTGCAACCGCTCGTGGAAACCACGCAATCTGCCTGGCACGACTGGGGTGCTTTAGAAAATAATGGCACAAACCGAGCGGATGGCTGGGCGGTCACGGAATCGCACACCACCGCCGATCGCGTTGGCAGTGCCATTATTTTCTAATGGCACTCCATTCTCGCCAATCAGATTGCACGGTTTCCCGCCGCAATACCGCCTGGGCGGTCCCACACGATCGCGGTTGAAAACATGAATAGGTTAAATGTTTTATTGTACTAAAACAGTCTTAAATTAAAGTTCTTCGTAATCATAAAGAAATTGGCCTAAAATCATTAGTCTTGTTTCTTTAAAGATTTCACCTGTCCCTTTAAGAAAACGTATTGGTAATTGGTATCGGCAAGTACATGAGGGGAAGTATTTGTACTTGTACTTGGACTTGGACTTGAAAAAGTGGTATCGGGAAATCCTTAGTATGAACATATACATGTACAAATTATTCTCAGAAACAAGGTTTTGTAAAAGAAAACAGATTGTTAAGATTATTTACATTATGTAGATCACCTTCATGCACAAAACTGTAAGAGACAACATTATTCCATTAATTTTGAAAAGGTAAATTGCCATAGTAATTGTCTTACGGATCTGTGGCTGAAACAAGTGCTGAGCTGCAGATGACCAGGCAGACAGACACCAGTAGAAGCTGCATGTTGGGACACCCGACACCTCCAATGAGACTGAGATATCTGCTATCTCTATAATAATAAGAGACAGAAAATGCTCAATACCACCCACTGATATTCTCGTTATCTATGATCAAGCAAAGATATTGAACTCTGCGTTGGCGAATCTGGACTGCTCGTCCCAATTTCAGCCCTGACATTTGACCCCTTATCTGAGGACACTTTCAAAACAGGTGGTTTATCAATGGCAATAAGCCAATATACACATATGTAACATCTATAGACATGTACAAAATATGCTTGCAGAGGTACACCTAAATAGGGGGCAGACGTACACACTCCTCTATACTTTAAAATTATTTTCAGTTATAGTAGCTAGGGAATTAAGCATTTACTATTAATGGCCAGAAATGAAACAAAGACAGGAAATATTTTGTTTATCTAAACACTGTATGCATACATTGCAGTAACAAAATAAAATAAAAAAATGTAAGGGTTTATCAGCAGGGCATGTGTGCCACTGCAAAAATAGTGATAATATCGGCATGGTTTGATAGTGACAGCCCTTCAGGGGACTACCTTAAGGTAACTACTCTCTAAGCCTATTTTAACCCACTTAAAATAGACAGGGCTCATTGTGCACTGGGACCAAGGTCCGTGGAAAAGACCCAGAGACAATATTTGCCTCATCCATTATTACACAGACAAAGAAACTATTCTGAAGGAAGTGAGACTGCCAGACAACGTCTACCTGATTTGTCACAAAAGACCCTACAACTATACAGATCCCTGATACCCCTCCTGGGTCTTTTAAGAGAACATTATGTGAAATATCTTTGGGGTTACCTCTTTCAATTGATCATCTCAAAGGAAGGAAAGTCTGCTATATTCAGGTCCTTGGGAGACTTGCCGAACCTGCTAGGAACTTTTCAGCTTTCCCAGGTGCAGTATCAGTCTGTGGATCTCCGAATTGTAGCTTGGGGGTTCCATCTCGTGCTATGTCTCTGACCCTTTACACAAGAGATCCCTTGTTATGCACTGTCCTGGTTGCAGTTATAAGGGTTGACAACCCTGGTTACATATTGGTTTATATTGTGATCAAGCTAAAAGAGATACACAGAAACCACAGACATGCTACAGGAGATGGTTAGAAACTACAGATATATTATAGGAGTTATTGGAGGCTGGGGGCATGCTGCAGTCATAGACTGGAGACACATTACATAAGATTTCTAGAGATCAGTGCTATCACAGCCACTTTACAAATCCATGCTGCTGCATTTGACATTTCTCACAACAAGATCTATTAAGAAAGATCAGAGGAAAAAAATATAAAGAGAGAAAACAGGTGGATAGCACAGAAAAAAAAGTAAGATAACATAAATAAATCAACCAAACTATTGAACTGCTGGACTACTGTCACCTAGGGCCCCGAAGGTCACACAATAAATATAAAAGGGCCACACCTTGAGCACCCAGATCTTGGGTGTTTCTAGTTTGCGCAAGAAAATATGTAATTTCTAATGCTAATCCCTAAATCTCAACTCTGGCTAAAGTTGTCTACCCTGATGCCTCATTCTCGGTCACAGTCAGCACCAAAATACTCAATGTCAGCTGGTATCAGAACTCAGAGAAAGTGGTGTCATGTGACAATGCACAGTCCTAGTGATTGGCCATTAGCCCTGAGCACTCGATGGGAGGAGGTCACATGTTCCCCCATACCCGGAAGCACCAAGTATTTTATAGGTTGAACTCGATGGACATGTGTCTTTTTTCAACCTGACTAACTATATAACTATGGAGGTCACAGAAAAAGGAGCAATGGGGGAGTGCTGGAGAGGTGACCATGAAGCAGTCAAGGAGAACTTTACATTGATGGACAAAATGATGGAGTCTCGAAGTTCCAAATATCACCTACTTCACTAACCCATGTAAGAAGCAGAAATCCATCATGTTAAAGAGGATCTTTCACCTCTGAAAAGCCAGCTACACCTGTATCACCGGCCTTGTATATGGGTTTATCTGTCTGTCTGGATGACACACACGGCAGATCCTATTGTATCTACGAGTAGCCTCTTGCTCTCATCGATTTTCTCATTGTGCAGAGACATGGAAAAACCAGTCTGTCATTGTCTCCGTTGTCGCAGGAACCTGTTTAATAACGCAAAACAAATTAATTTTTTTTTTTTATTTTTTGCTACATGAGACTTCCATTCCATGTGAGCAGTGTAAAAATTGCATTGATCAAACAGCTAACGCATTTTGAGGGCAGACACAACCCCTTTTCTCAGTGTTTGGAAACAATGAGAGTAAAGGAATAGACTCAGAATATTGGATAATTGATCCTATTGTAGCTAGGGATAGTTCTCCAAAAATTTTAGATTGTAGGCAGTGATTGAAGTCTCCATAATTTCCAAGCCTTGAGGTAGGGGGTTGTGTCTGCCCTTAAAATGCAGCGGTTGTTTGATTAACCAGTTGACATCCGCGGTGTTAAACCCCCTTCCCATCCAGGCCATTTTTCAGTATTCAGCGCTGCGGTACTTTGACTGACATTTATTCCGTCATGCAGCGCTGTACTGAAATGAACGTGAAATGAATGTACTCTCTCCGAAATTCACGCCATACAACCGATCGGCGGCTATAGAGCCGCTGATCGGTTGTATGTGAAACAGCTGTAGTAACAAGCGGGTCTTTCCTGCCCGTGCGCGCGCGTTAGGGGGCGCGCGCGAGCAGGAAAAAAATGCCGTCTGGTGATGGCAACCCGCAGATAGGAGTCAGCCGTCCGTCCGTTTTTTCTTAACCGGCGGACGGCAAGAGGTTAACACAATTATGTATAGGGTAACAGTGGGCAAAGTCACGCCTGTTGAATCAGGCAGTGAATCTCGACATCAAGATTCTGGAAGTTGACGCAGGCTGTCACCTGGGTCCCCTGTGCCATTCTGGAAGGAACTGTGAATACATAGTGGCTCTATGGACACAGAAAATTCAATACTGTTATTACAGCAATAGCCCACTCTATGCTGTACTGAGTTTTGGGTCACAGGAGGACATTAGCAAACACCGGAGTTTACATTGTATGGCCACAGGCGGTTAAACAGCTTGAAGAAAAAAAAGCAAGGAATAAAAGAAAGTTGCTAAGCAGCACTTATGGGTGTGTATGATACGTATCCCCACACAGGGTAATGTGGTTGCCCCCACCACTACTGAGCATTTAGTTTTTGTTTTTTTTTATCATGCATTATACAGCATGGGAATGGAACCTTCAAGTGTGCTAAAAATGCAGAACAAAACACATTGTTGTGTTTTTATGATTATTATAGTTATTTATATAGTGCCATCAATTTACATATGCCTACACATACTATTCATTCACATCAGTCCCCGCCCTCAAGGAGCTTACAATATAAGGTCCCTCTATCCCATCCATACATATACACACTGGGGGCAATTTAGACAAGAGACAATTTGTCTACTAGCTTCTCTTTGGCATGTAGGAGGAAACCCACACAAGTACAGGGAGAACATGCAAACTTAATGCAGAAAGTGTCCTGACCGGAATTTCGGACCAGAGACCCCAGTGCTGCTTTATGTTTAAAGGAGAACTATGAGATGAGTGATTTCCACTCACCTCATAGTTCTAGCCGACCTGTGACAATGAGACTGTCACAGGTCAGCTCAGAAGATCGGGAGGTGAGCGAACACATACCAGGTTCGCTCACCTCTCGATCCTGTCACGGGGGAGGGCTGGATTCCCCTCTCCCGCTCCGATCTGCCAGAGCTGACTGGCGGAACGGACGGGGGAGGGGGCGGGTACAGCTGGCTCTGCCTCTAGATAGGCAGAGCCAGCTGTCACTCACGCAGCTGGGCGGATCCCGTCATCTACGTTGGGATCCGCTCCGGCTGCGGCGTCTCAGTATACCGCGAGCTGTAGCTTGCGGTATACTGAGCTAAGGGTAACGGGAGGACGCTAGTTTGTGTCCTCCCGTTACCCTAAGGAGAACTATGGGGAAAAAGACTGACCCCATAGTTCTCCTTTAATTTCCATGAGCGCAAAAATGTGAGCTACTGTACCCAAAAATCAGGCAGATTAATTTTTTTCTTCACTACAATGCATTGTTGTAAACTGGCTCTAAGATAATAAAACTGGTGGGATTATTCAGTAAAGCAGTAATGATATGAAAATGCCATAACCTGGAGTAGCCAATTAGATTTCAAAACAAACTGCAGCCTGATGAGTTAGCAAATTATTTCTGAATGAGTTGCTATACTTCTCACATCCTCAAAGATAAAAAGAAATCAGCACATGAAGGATACACGGTACAAAGAAAACAAAAACATAAGAGGAGCTGTTGCCCATAGCAATCCATTGTTTTTTTTTTCCATTTTCAGGAAAATGATATGATGGTTGCTCTGTATTAACATTCATGGCCATTCATATATATATGTTATTAGTGCATATAAAGATAATAATAGATGGTTCTAATCCTTCCCTACTCTGTCTGGGCTTTAATCCGCTACAAGGATCTAAAATGGCACTTCTATTGAATGCTTGCTGGCACGGATAATATATGTGGCAAATCTACTTACAATATGTAACCAATTAACAAATATATGATTTGCTTTTCGTATTTTTGCTATGGGTTGATGATCTTCCTTCATTATGAAATGTTTGCACTCCCACGGAACATTACCCACGTGTATGACCTGCCAATATGCCCATCAGTCAAGTGTATTCCAATTTAGGCTTTTTTCCAATTTGTATTATAGTGGACCTGTCAGGTCTTGTTCTGCCTTGTTCTGGCATGAGTAATGACTGAAGTAATAAGTAGTTGTTGTTGTTTTTCTAACCCTTTACTATTTAAAATAGTAGGAAAGTCAAAATACAAGAACCCACTATTCTACATCTTACCTCCGTACTGCTCTTATATTCCCCGCATACATTTTATTTTCCTGTACATACATTTTCTGCATATATTATTTCCTGTGTGGGATAGAGCTCTAGCTCTATTTCCCTGATGAAGGCACCGCTTTGGTTCCGAAACGTTGTATGGAAATGCTGCACCATTTAGTCAATAAATAGATTGACTGGAACCTATATTGGAGTGCGAGTGACTTACCATCTTTTCAGAGCTCTAGCTCTATCCCCTTTCACTGCTGCTCTTCCGGTCAACAGCACGTTCTCGTCACCTTCATTACTGCTTTGCACGTTCTTGTCACCTTCATACCCATACTCGACTCCAGGACTTCTCTAGAGTCTCTCCCATCCTCTGGAACTCTTTACCCCAACCTGTCCGTCTATCTCCCACCTTGACTGCCTTTAGGCGATCCCTAAAGACTCATATCTTCAGGGAAGCCTATCCCACCTCAGCCTAACCACTCAACCATCACGTTCTGAAACAATTCATCCCCACACAGCTACCTCCTCATGTATCACTTGCCCCTCCCTTTTAGATTGTAAGCCCTCAGGGGCAGGGCCCTCCTTACCATCTTGTCTTGAATTGTATTGTGATTGTAAAGTCTTCTCCATCAGTCCCCTTCTCCATCTTCTTCTGTACTGTATAGAAACCTTTAGTGAGATCTGATTCTGACATGCTGTCAGGATCAGTCTCTAAGGTTCCTATTAGCTGTCCCTAATTTTGGAGCAGCCTAATAACAACAAATGTAAAAAGTTAATTTATCAAGCAGACAAAGTGTAAAAAAAAAAGTGTAAAAAAAATTAGGAAAGTAAAAATTATTGCAACCTCTCTTGCAACTTCGGTGAATAGCGGAACAAGGAAGTCAGGGCTCAGAGGGGCTCGAGTGCGAGAGACTGCAGAACGATGTGCTGACTCTGGTTAACTTTTTCCATGTTCGAAAGTTCGAGTTAGAACCGAACACGGGGGTGTTCGGCTCATCACTAGTGATGATCTTCAGGCAGAAGATGATGCAAGGAATGCACACCCAGGACACAGTTCAAGGTAGAGGTGAGGTCAGGTGCTAGCCTGGTCACAATTGTGTGGGCGATGAGGTACCAAGCAGAAGATGTGATTGTGGTCAAGGAACTAGCCAGGTCCAAGCCCTGAGGACAACACAGTACAGAAGCAGCAGATGAAGAGCAACATCGGGAACAAGCCAAGGTCAGGTAACTGGAGATCAGAAGAGTAGTCAGATCAAGCCAGGTTGGTAACAGGAAACAAGCAGAAACACAGGATCACGATGACAGGAGACTGATGATCACTCAGCACCGAGGCATCAGAAGGTCACAGCCTAAATAGACTGCCTGGCACCAGAAATTGTGGAGCGCCTGCGTAGAGGCGTGCGGCCAGGTCTGATGAACCACACCAGATGTCTGCAGATGCCTGCACAGAGCTCACAGCAATGGGTTCCTGACAGATGGCTTCATCAGCCCTTAGTAAAAATGGCCACTGTGAGAAGAATGGGAGGAAAATAAAATGAAGGTATGCAAAGAATACAAAGCCGGAAATTATTTAGCAGTTTGTGTTTGTAGATTGTCATTACTAAACATTTCTAAAGGTGTCTTTGTTGTCATTTCAAAGATATGGGTAAAAGTGAAGTTAAAGCACATTTTGTGCAATGGCCCGTTAGCAATATTTGTGCAACCCATGTGATAGCCGGTTATTGCTTAACAAATGTTTGTTGTGCTGTGTTTGATATCCACCCTCTCAGTACTTTTGCAAGACAATCCTGGAAAGGGGGTGTGTGGAAACTTTACAGCAGATTGAAAAAGACGCACACAGAGCACAGAGCCACACGCTGCCCTGAACGGCTGCATGATGGTGTCCTGGGTGCTCTGTGTGGGTCTGCTCCTTCTGCACTGCCCTCGGTCTTTAGAAGCTAATCTGTGAGTCTGTTTATGTTTCATTTAGCCATTTAGGTCTGTATACCGTCAAGAATAAATTCAGCATGTACCCCCATGGTGAATAGCAACCAGATGGTGGGGGCGGAAGGGTTAGTTTAAATTTTTCTTTATTTTTTAATTTTTTAAACTTTTTATATCACTTTTTTTATTTTTTTCATGTTTATTTTTTTACATTTTAGATTTTAGCTTATCTTATCGTTTACTTTTTTTATTTGTAAAAATTTTTGTGCCTTATTTTTATCTTTTTTATAATGTTTTTATCGTATTATTTTTTACTTTATTCTTTTATCTTTTTTTCTTATTTTTTACTGTTCAAATCACC